GACGCCCAAGGCGGTGCGGCCGCTGCTGCAGGTGCTGGAGCGGCGGCGGTGACCTGCGGGACCTTGGCGGTACGTCTGGGGCTCGACTACCTTCTCAGCAGGGAGGCCTCGGCCTCCCAAGCGAGAACGTGGCGGCTTTGGGCGTCTACCTCGGCGACGTGGGTTGCTACTGCTGCCACATCGGGAGCGACGGCGACTGCGAGAAGGAGCTGCAGGGCATCACGCTGGGCCGCCGCGGGCGGCAAAGCTGGTTCGGCTGCGAGGAACGGCGGCAGGCTGTCCCTCTGGGTCGCGCTGGTGGTAGTGCTGCACGTGGCCAACGGTGCTCGAAGGGGGGTGTCTGCACCGCCGCTGCAGAAGCGCGGCGCACGCGCCTGGCAGCAGGCCAAGCAGGACCGCCCTCGGTGGAACAACAGGTTGGTGGTCCACGCCGTCGACGACTCCACCAACGTCGTCTACGAGCGGGAGGTCAGGGCCTTCCTCGTTGACTGCAAGCGCGGGGAGGTGCCGTTCACGACCTTGGAGCAGAGGGACCGCGCGCTGGGGAACTACATCAGTGACCTCTGCTACCTGAGGGGCGACAACTACATGAAGGCCTCCCTCGCTTTCAATGGCTTCATGCACATCTTCGAGGATCATCGAGGGAGGCTCCCAACGGCGCATCGTGCGCTGAAGTCGTGGGAACGCATGCAGTTCGGAGGTGAGGGCCACCCGATCCCGTTCCAGGCGATGGGGGTGATCATCACGAGGATGCTGGAGATGGGGCACCTGCTGGAGGCGAGTGCCTGCATCGTGCAGTTGGACGGGTGGCTTCGGGAGCAGGACTGGGAGATGCTGCGGGCCAAGCACGTCAGCTTCACGCCCGACGGCGGCGTGGGCCTCAAGCTCGGCGACCGCATGATGGGACAGAAGACCAAGACGGGCGCCAACCAGGGCGCCGTGCTGGAGTGGCCGCTGTCGAAGCTCTTGATGAAGGTGCTGGCCCAGGATCGGGAGCCTGATGACCAGGTCTTCCCCTTCACCCAGCCGAGCTTCCGCAAGGTCTGGATGAAGACGCTGAAGGCGGTGGGCCTGGAGACCATGGGGCCACCGCACGGCATGCGCCACGCTGCGGCAGCCCGCTTCGTGGCGCTGAGCGGCGACCTGGAGGCGGCGCGTAGGCGGGGCCGCTGGGCTTCCACCGCTGGCCTCCAGCGCTACACCAAGTGCCGCGCGCTGGTGGAGAAGCTCAGTGAGCTAGACGGCACGCAGATCAAGCAGGGCTGTGCGTTCTGGCGCCGCCCGCGTCCGGCGGTGCACGGCGCCGTCGTGAGAGGGCCAGGCGCTGGGACGCCGCTCGGCAGGCGCATCGTCGGTGCGCTCGCGAGCGCCCGTGGCCGTGAGGTGCCTGTCGTAATGTATGGATCGACGTAGGCCAGCTCCCTCTCCCCACCTAATGAATATCGAGCCAAGTCTGGAGAGGGGGTCCTTGGGGGGAGGCCGTGAGGTTTTGAACAAAGCAAGATGAGGTTTTCTCTGCCTCGCTCTCCCGCCCGCCCGTGTCGCCCGTGCTCGGCAGCTTTTCTCTTGAAGGCCTTTGGCCAGTGGCCCAGTCGGGTCGGCTGGGAGGGGTCGAACAAGTTTTGTGGTTTGTGACCTAGGTCGAAGGCTCAGGTAGCTGGCCTCGGTCTGATGCTGTGCTCATGCAGCCAGCTCGAGCTGCGCTCTGTTTCTTGAAGAACTCTGGGGTTGAATACCCCCTCAGCCCGCGCCCTGGCGAAATATCGTCTCGTCAGCATCGATCAGTTGTTGTTGCAGTATTCCTGCCAGCCCTCTCGGGCTCTGCTCCGCCTACCCCCCTCAAGGGTTTTCAACCCCTCCCCCAGACTGGCTCTGAGTATAGGGTTAAGGTGTAAATAGTTGTTCTTGAACTTTATTTTACACTACCCGTCGTAGTCTGTTAGCCGCCCTTTCCCCCTCCGTCCCCCTCTGCCCCTCTGGGCTCAAGTCGGCCCCGCCGCACCCTCCCTTTGGGGAGGGGTCGAACAAGTTTGTGTGGTTTGTGACCTAGGTCGAAGGCTCAGGTAGCTGGCCTCGGTCTGATGCTGTGCTCATGCAGCCAGCTCGAGCTGCGTTCTTTTTCTTGAAGAATTCTGGGGTTGAATACCCCCTCAGCCCGCGCCCTGGTGCAAATATCGTCTCGTCAGCATCGATCAGTTGTTGTTGCAGTATTCCTGCCAGCCCTCTCGGGCTCTGCTCCGCCTACCCCCCTCAAGGGTTTTCAACCCCTCCCCCAGACTGGCTCTGAGTATAGGATTAAGGTGTAAAGGTATATTTGTCGTGGCACGTCTGCAGCGGGAGCTCTCGTCAGAGATCAGACTGGGCCGCGCCATTTTCATGCTGGCCCTGTCAGGCCAACCCGAGTCACCCGAACCCGAGTCTTACGTCTGCCCGACGCTGCCGACAGGCAGCAGGCCAGGCGGCAGGCTCAGCGACAGGTCGGCCCCGGCTGCTCGAGGCGCCGCGGGGAGCTTACGCGATGCGCCCCGCGCCGTGGCTGATGACGATTTGGAGGCCGGGCTAGCTTTAAGTCGGGCGCGTCCTTGTATACAGGAGGATCATCCAAAGATATGTAAACAATGTTCCGGGGATCTGTTTTCGCTATGTTTGATTATCTGTTGAGCATGTTTTGACTAACGGCCGCCTGTAGGAGGACATGCCCCACCTAAGGCTAGCTCGGACGATGCGTCGCCTTCAGAAAACACCACACGCTGTGAACAAAAATCAGGATGGGAGGTGTTTCGCCACTTTCGGCCTCCCGGGGCCCTCCCTGGGCCTCTGGACCGGCAAAAACGATTCGCGACGGAAAACCGGTCACCGCGAAGGGGTCCAGACTTTGGCGGGGCAGGCCGTGCCAAAAACACGACGTGGGGGGTCTAGGTAGCTCGGACGGTGCGTCGCCCGCAGAAGCGGCCGCGGCCGTGGTGCGCTTCAAACTCCACTGGCGCCAGCCCGCGGCTCGCGGGGCCTCGAAAGTTGTCGTTTGGTCGCGCGTGCTGTTGTTTTTGTTCGGTCTGGCAGTAGCCACGAGCCCGCGGCATGGTTGTTACGACTATCCAGGTTTGGTCAGCAAGAAGGTTGCTCGCGATCTGGCACGTTCAAAGCACAGGTGGTCGCGCGCTGCGGGATTTCCTCGTGCTGCCGTCCTCCTTGCTTTTTCGTGTCCCCCTGAACCCGCTGGCCACGTCTCGGTCCCCGAGCGTCAACGTCCCGAGCCTTCCCGAGCCCCCCGCGCCGCGGCGCGGAGCGGCACGCCAGCCACTCGTGAGGCATAGCGCGTGTCGCCTGGGCCGCCGCCGGGGACACGATCTCCAGACATGCCGGCGTCGTGATGAGAAGCACGGACGGGCGGTTCTTCCGACCTTCGGCCGCTGGGGGCCCTCGCCCGGCCCAGGGGCCCTCAAGAGGCGGCTCGAGAGGCAGAGCCAGTGCGGGGGGGGCAGGGGGCGGGACGTCCGGGGGCCCCGGGTCGCAAAACTCGGGGCGTCGCACGTCTGGGGCCACGTCCCTGCGCCCCTCGGGCACGCACCGTGCGGCTTTCGCACCGACCGGGAGCCGGGCAGGCGGATGCCTGCCCGGCTCGTGCGGGCCTGTGCCGCGGCGGCCCCCGCGTGCCCACAGCTGTGGAGCTGTTCGTGTGCGTGTGCGCGCGAGGGAGTGTGGGAGTGTGTGTGTGTGTCTGTGCGCAAGATCGATCTAGCCTTAAGTCGGGCATGTCCCTCTGCAGGAGGAATATTCAAAAATGATGAAGAAAGAGTCAGTGGACGATGTTTAGACTATTTTTGCCAATGCTTGGATCTGTTTGGTGTACTTTTTCATGTTCGCCCACATTCAAAATCCGCCTGTAGGAGGACATGCCCGACCTAAATCTAGCCTGCCGTGCTTCTGTCTACGGTAGCCTCACGCGCGTGCCCTGCCCGGTTTTGTTTTTGGAGGGCTTCCTCCGGGCTTGTCGTCACTTCCGAGAGCCGTCCCCCAACGTAGGTTGGCAATGTGTCCGTTCGTGGCGACTGTGGTGTCACATCGCCGGCCGATGAACAAACATTGCGTGTATGTGTGCGTGTGTAGGGGGGGCCGAGGGCCGCGCTTGCTTTGCTGTTGCTGCTGCTGCTTCTCGTCTTCTCGTCGTCGTCCCCTTCTGCTTTCTTCCTTTTTCCAAGCCGCAGGGCGCCCTCTCCGAGCTAGTAAAAAAGTGCGTGTGTAGGGGGCCGCACTGGCCTGCTCTGCGCAGAACTCTTCCACGCATGAGCGATTTCCCCTCCCCCATTCCCCCCGCGCGCCCGCCCGCGTCTCTTTCCTCCCTCCTGCACGCCGGTCAATTCGCCTCTCGGTTGCCTCACGCTGGAGCGGACTGCCTCTGCCTCGCCGCCGGCGGAAAAAGTGCGTGTGCACGAGACTCGTCCTGCGCCATGCGTAGTCCTCCCTACTCCTCCTCCTCCTCTTCCTCCTCCTCCTCCTCCTCCTCCTCCTCCTCCTCCTCCTCCATCGTCCCTCCTCCTCCTCCTCCTCCTCCTCCTCCTCCTCCTCCTCCTCCTCCTCCTCCTCCTCCTCCTGCAGCGTCAGGTCGAGTTGACACCCCGCGTGCTCTGGCTCAGCTCTCGCTGCAGCCGCGCCGCTCGGCCGCTGGAGGGTCCCTCGGCGGAGCGCGGCGGACGTAATCCGAGGCCGCCCCCGCGGGCGGAAGGCCGGCGGAAGCCGGCGGAAGCAGGAGATGTGCCGCAAAGAGACGGCAAGGTTTCTGAGCCCCAGGTTCCCGGAACCCGCCGTGTGTGTGTGTGTGTCTGTGTGTGAGAGAGTGTGTGTGTGTGTGTCTGTGTGTGTGTGTGAGAGTGTGTGTGTGTGTGTGTGAGAGTGTGTGTGTGAGAGAGTGTGTGTGTGTGTGAATGTGTGTTTGTGTGTGTGTGTGTGTCTGTGCGCCGCCGAGGCGGGCTGTTGTACACCCCGCGTGGCCTGCCGCCGAGGTGGCGTCGCTGCTGCTGCCGGCGGCCCCGCCGCTCGGCGAGGGGGTGATCCCGCTGGGCCCGGAGCTGGAGGACGGCGCCCCCCCTCTGCTCGGCCGGGGGCCCCGCCCGCCGGCTGGCGGAGCAGAGGCTCGGCCGTCCTCGTCGCCGTCGTTTTCCGCCTCCTCTTCCTCGTCGCCGTCGTCCTGCTTCTTCTTCCTTTTCTTGGTATTTTTCTCGTTCTTCTTTTTGTTGGTTCTCCTCTGGGCAGGAGGGGAGGGTGGGAGAGGGAGGAGCCGGGTGAGGAGGCAGAGGAGGCGGACGAGGAGCAGCAAGAGGAGAAGCAGGAGGAGGACGAGCAGGAGGATGTGGATGAGGGGCACAGGGACGAGGACGGTGGAGTGGTAGAGGCCTGGGTGGTTGTGGTGTGGCGGGCACATGTTGTCCGTGTCAGGCCCTGGCGCCATCGCGTATCGACCGGCTCGCATATTTATGCAGCAGATGTGGTCGAGAGTTTTGATGCGATGTCTAAGGGATTATGGCACAATGAGACATCATATGGCAAGAGTGTGAGAAATCGTGAGGCGGATAGGGTCGTGATGTTGCCTACGATGCTGCACAGCGTCTTCTTCACGACTCCATGTGAGGCTGTTTCTTCCCAGGGTAACGCTCGTTATCCGCCCCCCCCTGGTGAACGCGAACGATCTTATTGGGAGGTGCCTGGACCGAAAATGTGAGCATTTTCAATCAACTAGTACGGATTCCAACCATGTCAGTACCAGTCCCAGACACTTGGTACCATTCACAACCCCGCTTTGTAAGTTTCTTCGGTTTTTTTGTTTATACAGGGTTCTCAAGGGTTCCTGAAAAGGCTTCTCAGAGGTTCCGTGGAGGCTCTTAAGCTGCTCCAGAGAGGCTGCTTAGAGGTTCCTTAGAGGCTCCTCGCCGGCCACTCAGAGGTTTCTTAGAGAATCCTTCCACGAACTTCCCGAATTTCTGCAAGATTTCTACTTGTCGAAAGATTTGTGAGGATGTTGGAGGATATCAGAGCATTCCAGAAGGATTACTGAAAGATCCCCGAAGAATCTCTGAAGGATTCCTGATGGATTCCTCAGAATTCCCTAGGATTCTGGAGGATTCTCGAAGGATTCCTACAGAATTTCTCCGGGTCCCTGAATCCTGCGGGTTCCTGAAGGATTCCTGCGGGGTCCTGCGGGCGCGGAGTTCTCCGAGCCGAGGAAGACGCTTCCAACGGAAGCGTTTCGTGCCTACGGGCCTTGGCGAACCCCGGGACCTTCGTAGAGGGAGAGCGGGGGCGAACGGGTCACCTTGCCCCGCGCCGCCGTCGCCGACTCGCTCGGTCCCTGCAGCCTTTCTTGCGGGCGCTGGATTTCCCGCACCACCGAGGGCGACCCTCCCAATGGAAGCGTTTCGTGCGCTCGGGAGTTCGGGGAACCCCCGAACCCATGGGGAGGAACAGCGTGGCCGAACGAGTCACCGAGTCACCTTGCCCTCCTCCGCCGCCGCCACCGCCGGGTCGTTCGGCCCCTGCTTCCTTTCCTGCGGGCGCGGGGTTCTCCAAACTCCTGAGGGCGACGCTTCCAATGGAAGGTTTTCGTGCCTTCCGGGGTTCGGGGAGCTCCAGAACCCATGGGGAGGGAGATCGTGGCCGAACGAGTCACCTTGCCCTCCGCCGCCGCCGCGGATTCCTTCGGCCTCCGCCTCCTTTTCATGCGGGCGCGCGATTCCCCAACGCCCCTGGGGCGACGCTTCAAATGAAAGCGTTTCACGTGCTCGGGGATTCGGGGAGCCTCCGAACCCATATGGGGAAGAGAGGGTGGCCGATCGAGTCGCCTTGGCCCTCCGCTGCCGCCGCCGCCACCTTCCCCACTTTCCCGTCGAATGCACGTTCTAACAAAAGCACAAACGCCCACCAGCCCATCCAGACACGACGGGAGGCTTACTAGAGGCCTTTGGGAGGCGATTTTGAGCCCTGCACGGCTACAGGCAGTCAGAGGCTATCCTGAGCCAAGGCCGATTTGGGACCCGCCTGGAGGCAGGAGGAAGCTGAGGAGGAACATGAGGAGGAGGACGAGGAGGAAAAAGGATGATGAGGAAGAAAAATATATAATGAGGGGGAGGGGGAAGAAAACACAGAGGAGTAGGAGGACGACTGCGGCACGAGGGAGATGAGGAGAAGGACGAGGAAGAGGTGGAGGACAAGGTCAAAGACATCCGCATAAAAGGGGGTGCAGCGTCAGAGCACCGACTCAGGTGACTTACGCGCTTCTGTCCAAATCCCTTGCGATTGGTTGTGCTACAGCCCTGTCTTCTCACTAGGGCCGGCAGGGGGCAGACCACGTAGCTCAAGGACCGAGCTCCGAGGTGGCCCCGTCAGAGCGGCTCGCTACCTTACATCACGAGTCCCTGCGGGTCAGCGGGGGGGGGGGCGGCTGCTGAAGAGGTAGAGGAGGAGAGGGACGACGAGGAGGACGAAGGAGGAGGAGGAGGCACGAAAAGAGAGGATAAGGAACGGAGATTGATAAAGAGGACGAGCAATCGGGCTTTAGACATGTTGTTGTGAGAGGTGTGTTGGTATGTATTGATGTTATTGTGTTGGGTACAGGTTGTTGTCCTGAGGTGATATGTGATGCTGGGAAGTGTTGTTGCAAAACGACACAGATCCCATATGCCACAATGTAACCAAGTTCCAAGTGGGACTGGGGCGCCCATGTTGATTTGCAGAACGAATGGTATTCTGAATACGTCCATTTGATGTCTGAATCGTCTTGAACGCTGTGCACATAGAATCCGATTGTTAGCTCAAGGTGGCTGGCCGTAATTGGTGCCGGTTGTTTTTTGGCCAATTGAGAAGCGGCCATGTCGGTTGTAATTGGTGCCGGTCGTTTGGGATTAGTCCGACATGCCGGCCTGGACCTTGCTTGCATTTTGTGGTGTGCACAGGCGATTGATGCGCCGGTGGCGCGGACGCACCCTGGCGGGTGCACGCCGCGGCCGCTTTTACAGTTACCTTCCCGCCCGACCCCCGACCCCGGTAACGATCGATACCTGGGGAAGAAACACTGTCACCATGCCGACGCCTTTGCGACCCCCCGAGGACGGCGAGCTCCGCTCCATCCAGCTGCCCCTGTCGCGCGCGGGCGCCCACGTCGGCGCCATCGACTTGCGATACCAGCTGGCGCCTGGCTGGACCGAAACTTCGAAGGGTCTCCATACAGCACGGAAGAAGGAACCTCTCTAATTGGGTTTGAAGTATTGTGAAGCCCAGCCAGAGAACAGGCGTTTTCGGGTGAAGGTTTGGATGTCTGATGAAATCGGATGGTGCTGGCATGCTGTTGATACGAGGTTTGCCCGCTGAAGATTTGTTTTCTGGTGCTAGTCCGGCCGGACTGCCGCACAAAGGCCGGAGGTTCGTCCAAATGGCGTTCTCGCCTCAGCGTGAGCAGCACGCCGCCAGCGTCACCTGCGCGCCGTGGCCAGTTGAAGAGCGAATCGGAAGGACGTCGCAGCCGCAACCTGTTTTGTTGATTCAGTTGGGGGCGCTGGACGACATGGTCGGATCAAACGCAAGTTTGACGAACATCAAACTCGCAGCGATGTCCCAGCAGATTGGGCAAGTTTGAGTTCGCCAGCTTCTGTGGAATGCGCGTTGAGCAACGGTCCGACGGTCACCATGGATCCTTGTGCAAGCAGTTGCGCGTCTCGTCAAGGATGTTGCGGAGATTGTTTAATCGCTTCGTTGACTCCGCCGGCCCATTTCTCATCACGGTGGCTGCACGGTGGCGTGCTCGTACCCTTGGGAACGGTGGGGCAGGACGGACTGTCTTCGAGGATATCTTTGGAGACGTGACTTGCACCCTGACGAAGCGAGCCAATAGACTGCCCCAGAGGGCGCCACGATGGCTCAAGAGAGCTCCAGCAGAGTTTCGAGACGTACCTGGGTTGCGGGTCAGAGTCCTAACAGACGTTTCTTGGGGTCTCTTCGGAGGGCTGTCGGGAGCGTCTGGAGAGCAGTTGTGAAGCCTCTGGCAAGCCTCTTACGGGCTTCTTGGAGGCCGCTTGGGGCTTCCTGGGGGGGGGGGGGCTTTTCGGGGGCCTCTTGAGGGCCTCTTGGAGGGCTTTGGGGGGCCTCTGCGGGCTTCATGGGCGCCTCTTCGCGCCGAGATTTCGACATGTTTGTTCGGGCTTCCCCTCTGGGCCCATCTTGGGGCCATGTCTTGGAGGCCTCGTTGGCAGTTTGAGGGTCATCTTGGGCCATCTTGTGCCATTTGGGAGCCCTCTTTGAGGCTTGTTGTGCTGTTTTGGAGTTATCTTGGGGCCTCTTGGGCCGTCCATGGCGGTTAGCAGCTCGACAAGGCGGTACCGCCAAAGTCGTTTGAAAACAGGAACAACATTTATGTTTATTTGCGTTTGCGGGGCCTCTCGAAGTCCTCCTTGGAACTCTCCTGGAGCGTCTTGGGCGCTGCTTGGGCCGTCTTGGGACCAAGGTGGGCCATCTTTGAACACTCCTGGCCTGAGGCAATGGGGCGCTCGGGGGACCCCGAGGCGCCTTTTGGCTCCTTTATTGGCTCCTTTATGGGGGCGCTCGGGGGACCCTTTTGGCTCCTATATTGGGCGCCCTTTGGCTCCTTAATTGGCCGAGTGGGCCACCCTTTTGGCTCCTTTATTGGGGCGCTCGGGGGACCCCGAGGCCGCGCGCAGGAGGTCCGGCATCTCTGATTCGACCTTGCTGGGACCTTGCCGGGAACTTACCGGGACCTTGCCAGGACCTTCCTGGGACCCTACCGTTCGATGCTCGTTTCGGGGACCTTCCTGGAGGCCACCTAATGGATCTGTTCGACCCCAGTTCGACTCAAGTTCGACTCAAGTTCGACTCAACTTCGACTCAGGTTCGACTCAGGTTCGACTCAGGATCGACTCAGGATCGACTCAGGTTCGACTCAGGTTCGACTCAGGTTCGACGCACGAGTGGAGCGAGTGGCTCCAGGAAGGTCCCCAGAATGGGCATCTAATTTGCCAGGACCTTCCTGGGACCCTACCGGGACCTCGTTTTTTTTGGTACTGTGTTTTTTTCGTCCGCGGACCGCCAGGGGCCGCCACGCTCGTGCGAGCTAGAAGCATATGTTATTTTCTGGATTTTAGCACGCCTCTGGCCCGTTGGGCCCGCGAAATCCGGAGTCGCGCATATTCGTGTTATTCGTGTCGCGCCTCCGCCTCCTCAATCCTGCCTGGTCCCTCCTTGTCCATCTCACACTCAGAGTCGTCGCGATGTGGCAGGCAAAGTACTTGGACAACACAAGAGAGAGCCACCAGGGGATAGGACACTGACCCGTTCGTGCCAAGATTCTGGGACTATCTCAGGTGGATCGTTTTTGTTCAGGTTATAGGCGCGCCTCTTTTCAGGACTGCCTTTTGGTCGCGATGTCGCAGCGCAGCCATAGCCTTTTGGGCGCCATCTCAGGGAACGGCCAGTGGGTAGGGCCCTTCCCCGTTGGCGCCCAGAATGCGGAGATAACTCCAGCGAGTCGCTGGCTTTTGGTGGTGAGTTTCTTTTCAGGGCCGCCACGTAGAAGTCGAATCATTTAGGCACCCCCAGCGGGGGGGGGGCGGGGGGGCAGGTGGTAGGACAGTTGCCCGTTGGCGCCTAAATTGTGGGGACGTCTCAAGCGAACCACTGATTTGGGTGGAAGGTAGACATGTGTTGTTTCAGAGCCGTGACAATCGCGGTGAAACAGTCACAACATTTTGGCGCCACAGGGCGGCAGGCGCGAGGGGGTTACAGCACGGGCACGTTGGCGCCCAGATTGTGGGGATGTCTCAACCGAAATGTTGGTTTGGGGAATGTAGACGCGTCTCTTTCCAGGTCCGCTCAGTCGCCGCGACGATGTAGCAGGCATGCCACTTGGACGCCACAAGGGTTAGCCGCCAAGGGGCAAGAGACTTGCCTGTTAGTAGCTAGTTTGTGCAGATGTCTCAACAGATACCTTGGATTCCGACAAGTCGGATCTTTCCGACATACGCGTCTCTTTTCAGGGCCGCGTGATCATTGCGATGTAATCCCATGTGGGTTCCACAGGTGGGAGTCGCCGAGAGGTATGGGACTTACCCGCTGGCGCCCAGCTTCTGGAGATGCCTCAAGCGAGACGCTGGCTTTGGGGACTTGTCTGCCTTAATGTTTCAGGGCCGCGTGGTCGCCGTGATGTACCAGGCGTGGCGTATGGAGACCCTAATATGTGGGGCGCCAAGGGGTACATCACGGGCGCGGTCGCGCTCACACTGTCGAGATTGTCTCGGCCCATCCAGTTTATCAGTAGGTGTTTGGTGGGTGCTTCGAAATTGGTGTGGGCCTCCCGGCCAGATCCCGAGATATCCCAGCTCGCATCCCGTCCGTCCGCGGTGCCCCTAAGGCGAACCGCCTTCGGCATCGAGCGGGCCCCCGCTACAGGGAGGAGGAGGAGTAGGAGTAGGAGGAAGAGGAGGAGGAGGAGGAGGAGGAGGAAGAGAAGCAGGAGGAGGAGGATGCGAGGAGGAGGAGGAGGACGAGGAGGAGGAGAAGGAGGAGGGGGAGAGGAGGAGGAGGCGGGGAGGAGAAGGACGCGAGGAGGAGAAGGAGGAGGAGGAGGAGGAACATGGTGGGTGGTATGAGGGCACGAGGCGGAGCGGCAGCGTCTCGAAGTGAACCGATGCGCGGGCAGGCAGAGGAGAAGGAGTTGGCGGCGGAGAAGGAGGAGGAGGAGGAGGAGGAGGAGCAGGAGGAGGAGCTGAGGAGGAGGCGATGAGGAGGCGAGGAGGAGGCGACGAGGAGGCGAAGAGAAGGAGGAGGAGGTGGTGGAGAAGGAGGAGGCGATGAGGAGAAGGAGACGGTGGAGGAGCAGGCGGGGGAGGGACCCCGGCCTCGCCAGGTGGCTGCCCCTGCCGCCCTCGAGTTTTCGACCTCGGAGCTGTGGGGGCACTGGCCTGCTGCGTATCACGCGGGGGCCATGTCCATGTGCCTCGGCAGGGACAAGACTGCTCCCGGCTAGCAGAAGAATGAGCGGCCCCCGTCGCGTTGCCGTCGCCAAGAGCGTCGTCGTCGTCGTCGTTCTCCTCGCACACGCTGCGCTCGTGCTGCCGTCCTCGCAGTCAACGTCATGAACGTTGTCAAGATCGACGTCCTGGCCGCATCCGCCCCGTATCCCTTTCCCTCCTCCTCCTCCTTCTCCTCCTCCGTGGACGTCCGGCGCTGCTATCATTGCACGCGTTGCCAAGTACACCATACCTGAGTACTCCTGCCATCTCACAGACAAGGTATCGTTGCATATGCTTGGAAGCCGGTCACTCGCAACATCGTCTTGGCAATGCCCAGCATTTGCCGAATGCCTTGACCGTGCTCTTCATCCCGTCGCTGCCGCCACCACTTATCCATCGAGCTTTCTCTTGCCGCTGCTGCTGCTGCTGCTCTGCTGTCTCCCTCTCCCTCTGTGCGGCATTCCTCCCGGCCGGGCTGGCAATGCTTGGCCACGGATGCGTTCGGACGCGCACGATCTGGCGAGCCGATCCCCGCTCTTGTTCATCTATCGACTCACGAAACGGTGCCCAGTCAGAGCGGCCAAGATCGAGAACGCACCGTGGGGGGGCCTCCAGCTTCTTCTCGTTTCTGCCCCTCTTTCTTCTGCCTGGCCCGTCCTTCCTCTCAGGAGTTTCGTGCACGTCAGACCGGACCCTGACCCCAAGCGGTCGCAAGGTGTGCATTGTTGGCTGTACGATTTATCCCGATCGCCAGTGCCATCATGCCGCCTGCCCGCAACTGCATTGGGCTCTCTCGTCTGTCCTCGGTCGTGGCCCCGCCCCTGTTTGTCCTGCTTCACGCGATGGGCCGTCCGTGCTCCGACGGCCAGCGCCGTCGAAGAGGGCGCCATCGTATTGTGCGCCTATCACGCGCTCCGCTTGCTGCCTAGTCCCAATTCTCCACGTGATCTCCGCTCGGCAGTCTTGTCAACACTGCGCTTTGTTCGTATGTGTTGGCCGCTTTCTTTCGCCTGCTGAGTCCGGTGGGCACTCCGCCCTTCTGCTACTCTCGGCTCCTCCTCTCGCACTTCTTTTCCTGTGCTTCTCTTCCCCCAAATCGTCCCTCCCCTCCGCCTCCTCCCTTCATCCTTCTTCGTTCTCTCTCGCGGGGGGGAGGAGAGGACAAAGGAGGAAAAGGGGGACGAGGGAGGAGCAGGAGACGGAGGAGGAGGAGTCGAGGAGGACTGGATGGTGTGGTGCGAGATGCGCGTCCAGACCATGCTGCGCACCATCAGCTACAATACCGCTCCCGCAAGCGCAGCTGCCCCCCCGCGGCCGCAAATGCCAGGGCAGAGGTCGACCACCGAGATCCACGATAGGCGGCCGTCAAAGCACACAGCGACCGCGTGAGCGGCGGGAGGGCGCGCGTGGCTGAGGCCAGCCGTGCTGCCGACTGCGAGGCACCGCGCTGCCTCCCGGCAGCGCAGCGCCCCGCCGACTGCTGCGCTCGACAGCGCGTTACGGCTCCGCGTCTGCCCCGGATCGCGAGGCAGGCACGAGCCGCGCCTCGACGGCGCGTCGGCAGAAGACAGCATGCTGACGACATGCCTGCAAACACGTGCAAGAATCTACGCGTGCAGACGCCGAGCCGATGCAGTGGCTCGGAGAGCAGGCGCCGGGAACCCTTCGTTCCGGAGCCTCGCGAGGGAGAGCTACCAGGGAGCACGAGCATCAACGGCAGGCTGCCATCGGGAGCCCGTCGGTGCGTGCCTCCCTCGCTCGTCTGTCCGAAGGCCTCGCGCTGCGTCGGCAGCAGCGACCTGACGGGTGCCCACCGGTGGCGTGTGCTCGGGTCGGTGTTTGCTCCCCCACCCGAGCGACGCAGAGAAGCGCGCTCGACTGCGCGGACATTCGCGCGCGAGCTGCCCGCGTAAGGTCGCGCGTGAGTGTCCCCCCCCTCCTCGCGGTGTGCCGCCCTGGCGGCCCGCGTAAGTCTGCGGCGTGAGGTCGCCATGCCCTTTCGCGTCAGGCCCGTTTCTGTTCGTCACGCACCTGAGAGTTCGTACAGCAGGAGTCCCTGCAAGGTGAGCGGCGAGCGTCGAGGGAAGAAGTACGGGGATCATGGCCAAGGTGTCGCGGGATCTTGCCGATGCGATTTTTGTCATGGTCCATGTCGGCCGCCGCCGACTCGCGAAGGTGATCCACGGAATGACGTTGACCAAGATCGGCGCGCAGATTCCCCTCTCCGTATCGGTCATGGTCCACGTTGTCTTCCCCCCTCGTCGTCGCCCTCGGGTTCGTCGTCGTCGTCGTCGTCGTCGCCGTCGCCGTCGTCGTCTCGAGCCGAGGGCGGCACAGCGCCACTTCGGCTCCGTGCGCGCGCGACCGCCGGCGAGAGGGGCCTGCTGCGCGCTCTCCCGGCTCGCGCGCCGGGCCGGCGTGGCGGCAGCCTGCCGGATGCCCACGCCGGAGTGCCCCGCTGCTGCTGCTGTCGGCCTCCTCCTCCTCCTCCTCCTTCTCCTCCTCCTCCGCCTGCTCCTACGCCTCCGCCTCCTCCTCCTGCTCCTCCTCCAGCTCCACCTCCTCCTCCTCCTCATCCCTCCTCCTCCTCCTCCTCCTCCTCCTCCTCCTCCTCCTCCTCCTCCGGGCCCGCTGTGCTGCCAGGCAGCACACCCGAGCAGGAACAGGTACCCACACCGCTACCCTTCGTTCGTTTTCGCCTCCCCGGGCCTCCTGGGAGGCCCTCGTCGCCACGGCTGCGTTCGCCTCGGAAGTCTGGTCGGAAGGACCCCCCGGGAGAGGTCCGAGGAGTAGCGGCATCGGTCCCCTGTGAGTTCCCCGGCGCGGGTCCCTTCGCTGTGCTTCCCCTTTCCTCGTCGCCTCCCCCCCTCGCGCTTTTCCTCTTCGCCTCCCCCCCTCGCCCTTCCTGCAGCTTCCTCGCGGGCGTCGTTCGAAGGCCCACTCTTCCTGGCTGTGCGCTGTTTGGGCACCGGGCCGCTTTGCCCGCTTTGCCTGAGCGCGGTTCCCACTGGTGGCGCCGTGCTGCGATCGCTGAGCCCGCGCGCGCAGCAGCAGCAGCAGCAGCACCAGCAGCAGCAGCAGCAGCAGCAGCAGCCGCGGCTTCGTGTCCTGATGTCTTGGCAAAGCCGCGGGCGTGTGGGGTGGAGGTCCTTGGACGAAAAAGAACAAAGCCCAGCGGCCAGGTCTCATCCTGCATCGAGTCCGTCTGGTTGTTCGTTCTCTGCGTTGCTGTTTCCATTGTCTTTTTCCATCGTTGTTTTTCGTCTTTTTGGCATTCAGATCCTCCTCATTCCTTCTCATCATCCCTCACTCGCTCTAAGGAGGCCTCAGGGTATACCTCTGTGGCTCCCACGAGACCCGTATGGTATACGTGGCCTAACAGTGGATGGCCTTTGGTGCGGACGCAGCCTCTGAGTGTTGCGGATGGCCCCAAATCGGTCCACATCTCCCAGATGTGGGCCTTCCCCTGACTCTTGCGCCGGATCCTGAAATGCTCCGGCGCGTAAAATCAGCTAGCGGTGCGTCCGAACTTCTGAGGGTCTCCCGCCCGCGTCCCCTCCACTTGTATCTTATCATTGTCATCCTCGTCTTCCTTGTGCTCCCACGCGTCCGCACCATTACTCTTACCACTGTCTTCATCCACCGTAGTGTTTTTAGTTGGTGGTCGGACCCACTTCGGAACTACCACACCCCTCTCTTGTTCTCTACGGGAACACAACACCCCTCTCTCGCATCTCGCGCCATGCAGATGCCAGCGCATACGAAGGCGCTCGCGAGTCTTCGATTCCCGCGCACTGGGATGCGCGTCGTCGTGAAGGACACCTTCATCGAAGTTGTCGAGGAGGACAGCAGCCTGTCCGTGGAGAAGCCCTTAAAGAGGGCTTTCTCTTCGCCGGCCACGTCGACCAGGAGGGACGTACCTTCCTGGAGCAGGCAGGAGAGGAAGGTCGAGCGCGTCGATGGCTCCCTTGACGTGGCCCAGCAGACGAAGGGAGTGGATAGCCAGGGGGGGCCTGAGCCAAAGACGACGGTGGCTATCAGGAATGTCCCCATCCACTTCACTCGCACCCAGCTCCTGCAGCAACTCGACGCCATGGGATTTGCGGGCCAGTATGATTTTCTTTATGCTAGAGGCCTTCCGCAGTGCCGCCGGCCGAATAATAAGCTCAGTTCGCGATGATGGTATGGGCTGCCTTGGTGGCCCTGTGTGGAGGAGGGGGGGCCACGAAGCTCCCAGACCATGGTGGAGACATCCTGGGGCATTTTCGAAAGTGAGCCCGGGCAGATCGTGTAGCTATACTGGGGGCACCTGGGGTTGAACGAGAACATCATTGGAGCCTGTTCGATTCATGGTTTGTCTCATGGGCGCAGTTTTGAACCGAGGCTTGGAGAATGCCGAACTCTTGCAAACGCCTCGCGAAGTCTTGGCGCTTGGAGTATCCCCAGCAGGCCATCTGGACGCGTCACCCAGGAGGGTTGTCGTGCAAAGGGTAGCGATGACGCGGTAGCGAAACATCGAGGGGGCGCCAGTGAAACCGACGGTCAGCCCAAGCAAACCCCACAATGGCCATTTGGGGGTCGTCGGAGTTCCTTGGATACTTCTGGGAGCCACAGTGAGGCGATCTTTGGCCGGTTTGGGGAACGCCTGGAGCTTTCTAGGGGCTCCCTCCGTGACCTGTCGGGGGCCTTGGGGCCTCTTGGAGCACCCTGGAGAGTCATGAGACCTCCCCTGTGGAACTTGGACATCCGACTCTTAGAACTCTGTTCAGGATTTGTTGGGTGGTGCTCTTGTGGGTCTCTTGGGCCGCTTCTGGGTTCCTCTTTGGTTTTTGTTGGACCATCTTGTCGCTAGCTTGAGGCCTCGAACGTCGATCGGAAGCGAGAACGCGGAACGACGACAATACTCAACAACCAATTGGGGTTTGACGATGTTGACTTTGTGGTCCCTTGGAGCCATAATGGAGCCGTCTGGAGCCTGTTGGGGGCATGTTCGAGGATACACTTGTCCACCCTG